TGACATTTACTCCCAACTTGAGGGAGAGTGTTGAGTTGGGCCTAGTTGTTTTTATTCTTATTTTAAGTTATTTAGTTAGGAAGTTGTTGGGCTTTAGGCCCATTAGTTTATGTTTTTAAGTTGTGACTGTTGTGACTGTTTAGCTACATTAGTAGTCGCCCTACTAATGTTTATTCTTTCCAGGAAAATTTCCCAACAAAAAAAAACAACCCGAGGAGGAATGGGCTTGCTCCAAATTTCCTTAGTTGGAAAGGACAAACCAGGAAGGACAGATGATTGAGTTAAGGTTTCAAAAAGCGAAGCACAAGAGAAGGTTCCCGAGGTGGAAGGGGTCCAAATTCTGGTGTCTTCCCTATTAGGATCTAGGAAAATATTCTCGATGATGGGTAACAAAGGTAAGAGGCTGTCCAAGTTTATATCCCTAATTGCCCTTCACAGGCCAAGGTTCCACCCAGAACCGGAAGTGGAGTATGAAGGACCTAAAAAAGAAGAGATAGGTTCATTTTTCAAATCTGACAGAGCATACAGGGAGGGAAACTAGTCCTTTAGAGGTAAAACCCCAACCCAACAATGTTCCCAAAATTTTATTCAATTACCAGAGTTAACACCGTACCTGATCCAAGGGGAGAAAGATGGAAGTAGGTCATGGATGGATTTCCACGGAGAAGCAGTTGTAGCCCTTGCCACAATTCCAGAATCCCAGCCGTTGTCTTCCATCCCATGTATGCTAGCCACGATCTTTGTCCACAAATTTTCCTTTTCCACTGTAAACCTCCACAACCATTTTCCCAACAACACCATATTCCTTTTCTTGATATTTCCAATCCCAAGGCCTCCTAGTTTTTTACATCTAATTACCACTTCCCATCTCACCCTATGATCTCTCTTCTCCTCTCCAAGCTCCCACAGAAAATTACTCATTAATTTTTCCAATAAGTTAGAGACCTTAGTGGGGATCTTAAACACTGATAAATAGTAAACAGGTAGGTTAGCTAGGGTAGACCTAATCAAAGTGACTCACCCACCTAAGGAAAGATAATTTCTCTTCCAAGACGCAAGCCTCTTCTCAAATCTCTCTACTACCGAAGTCCAAAAGCTTTCATTCTTAGGATTATCTCCTAAAAGAAGGCCCAAGTATGTCAAAGGCCAATCTGAGATTGCACAACCTAACACACTTACATAATTCCTTAACTTCCTCTCCTCCACATTCACCCCCACCACACAACTCTCATCAAAGTTCACCTTGAGGTTAGACATCTGCTCAAAGAGTTGTATTGCTAATTTTAAATTCCGGATCCAACTTATATTCCCACCCTCACAAAACAATGTGTCATTGGCAAACTGGAGATGTGTTAGTGGTACCTCCTCCTTTCCAACTCGCCACCCTTTTATCAGATTCCTCGAGTCTGCTCTATGGATCAATCTCCCAAGTGCATCAACAATCAGGGTAAAAAGAAGGACGAATGCACATGAGATGTACAAGCAAAGAGGCTAACTACAAGAAAAGACCCAAAGCTCATTCAGAAACAGGTAAATTCAACAATATCTTAATCACCAAAAAGGAATACAGTAAGGAATTTCCATGATATTTATACAAATATTAAGAGAACCAAACTAATCAAACACACCTATAAGCACAAAAGTTGAATGTATACTGCTTCTAAACATTCTTCAAGTAACCAAGTTGTAACTCTGAAGTTAGGAAAGAGGGTCATTGGCCAATGTTGGACACTCATTCAGGTACACTAATGCAATAACAATTTTTTTACAGGAGAACTGGAAGAACTCTTACATCCCTCAGCAAGGATAAGTCAAATATTATTTGCTTTCCTTCCAATAATAATATAATTTTAGTCCTCCCAGTATATGCAAAGGACAGCCTTTTGACAAAGACAACTAAGAGAAACAAACGATGCTGGCTTTCTTCAGGCCATGCACAGACAAATATGCATTCAAATGAGTTCAAATTTTAAAAATACAGGAAGATGCTAGCTTATTCCTGCCAACCTCATGGTTTATGAAATTCAAACAAACTATAACAAGGAACTCTAGTAAGCAGAGCTGTAACATAGCACATTAATGCAAATCAAATTATCATGAAATACAAATAAAAACACTGTGACCATGGACAAAAGCCAAGCTTCCATTATTGAATTATAAGGGGTGCATAAAAGAATTAACAAGGGTATGGTATACCTCCCCTATTGCAATGGTAATGATATGTGGAGTAAAACCCATTCCAGCAGAACCAGAGATCCACTCACCTAGCAATAAAGTTAACAATTAGAAGGTAACATAAATAACACCAAAATAGCATATAGCAAAATAAGCATTTGACACAAAGAATATATTTACATTATTTCAGATGAATATAATCTCAGTAACGGCAAAAATGTTAGATCCAGTTGACAGGTTGCAAGAGGTTCCATGACCTCAAGAAAGAGGCACTGCAAAACACATACGGAAGGAAAATCAAGAAAGAAAGCTACCACACATCTACCCTTCACAGTCCTTACATGAGGAAGCATTGCTTTAGAGAATGCTTAGAACCAAATTAACCCCTCTAACTAGTGGAGTTGGCCCATAAACCTGATCAATGAAATTGAAGACCTCAGTTCAATTGATTCAAAAGTGAAAGAGCTCAAATCAAGTCAACTCAATAGTCCACAAAATTTCATGTCAAAGCTTTGAGCATTATGTATGCTCCCTGAAGCAATGAATAACTCAGGAAAGGTTTTGCCACATTAAACAACTGAAAATTTGTCAGATACAGGTAAAACAAAGAGAATGCACAGAAATAAGAACCACTAATCAAAGTATGAAGAAGAAACCAGTAGACTTAAGAGTTCATTAGTACAAGTAAAACAGAGAAAATATGCAGAAATGAGAAAATCTGGTAAAGATGTGAAGGGGAAAAAGCAATTTACAAGTACATGATGCGGCAGTTCATAACTGCCAAAACCACTTGCTTTATTGAGTGTGAGATATGAAAATTTTCCCATAGACAATGAAGAAACAACACAAGGATATCTAGGCTTAAAGGTAATGCCCAACATGGTAACATGTGTAGAACAGGTTCTTCTAAGCCTGTAAATGCTTGAAAGGACAATGACGAACATATTTAAAATATTAATTCCTAGGCATATTCTGGATGAATGATCCAAATTTCCTTCGGCACTTCTGACAATTGTCTATAACAAATTATCAAGTTCTATCAGTATGAGATATGACAGTAAATTAGCCACATAATTTAACACTATACCAACTAACTGTTTGAATATATTATTTTGATTACTACTATTGTTGCAATTAAGAGATACTGATACTGCTGGGATCACCAAATTATTGTCCCAGACTCCCAGTATATACAAACATTGTCTTCTAATCATGTTCGATCCTGACACGTTGATCCTATAGTGAGCATGGTTTCTAGTATGAAATTTAACCAAGAAGAGGAAAAAAAAAACAGGATAAGAGGGAGGGTGAACAGAAAAGGAACAAGGCACTCATTTCACTTCACTCGCCATATCAACAGTTGCATTGGGTGATTCTTGGTAATTTATCTTGATGTTTCTTGATCATCTATAGAAAACTTGGCTAAAGTGGTTAGCAAATTGTTCAAAGGTTTTTGCTGAAATTTCTGAGCCTTTACATCTCTCCATTTATTTTATATCAGTATCATACTTTTCCTAATCAGAGATGAGGAATGGACTGCTAAGTGCTAACTGACCTATGTCTCAACATTGACATCACCATCAAATCAGTGTTACAGCTCACATACCTATAAAGACCTTATTTTCACATCTCAAGAATTTGTTACCAACAAGGAAATGTAATTTTTCTTACATGGTCACAACATAGCAATTAGCAAGTGATAGCTTGGGTGGTCTTTCGAACATTGTACTACATAACTACAATAACTTAGCCTCAACATTTTAAGGAAACAGTCAAATAAATAGTTATAGATAGCAATGCATGTTGATAAATGAGCAACCATTTGTATTTTTAAGGAACCACAAGTTCAGAACAGGAGTAAAGTACAGAGAAAGCCTAGTTATATAAAGGTAAGAACAGGAGTAAAGTACAGAGAAAACTTAGTTATATAAAGGTATGAATAACAAATCAATATCGAGCAACCATTTATGACGAACGAATGATATCTAAAAACAATAAATTTTCTAGCTAAACAATATCGAGAATAATTGAAACCTTATCTGGATCACCTATTAATGATATTTTGATAATCACAACAAGAACAGAATATCTGGATTACCTATTCCTTACATTTAACAATCACAAGTCCTGAAGTAAAATTCACATAGAGTACTCACCAAGAGAAGCTAATTGTTGCTTCCTTCCAGTTCCCGGTGGCCGCCCTCTACCCCGCTTCTGGGTCAGCGGATGCGATGCTGGGGAAGGGGTAGAGGACAAGGGAGATAAAGCGAGAGCGACAGTTCCATCAGGTCCATATTTTCGAGGCCTTCCCCTTTTCCTTCTTACAGGCTCTCCGCTTGGGGGCATTCCCGACGGCACACTCACGTTAACACCATGAGGCGAAATCGTAGACGAAGACTCTACTTGGAATGTTGATCCAACTGAACCGCCACCAATATTTGATTGCATTGGCATAGTAGGACCAGTTAGCGGGCGAATGCCCGGTGGTCCATGTAACCCAGTCTGTGCTCCCGGCCCTGATCCAGCAACCCCTCGCTGCTGCATGTAATAAGATGCAGAGCCAGACAACGCCATGGCTTCTCTCCCATCCATGCATTTAATTAAAAAAATAATCGCAAAACAACACTTCCGCTAAACGTCAACGATAGAAATTTTAAGCTTCATTTGCCCATATATTACTTCTTCCAACTATGGCTCTGTCGCTCTTCAGGAAACCCAATCGATTGTACACAACTGAAAGATAATAGAAATGTCCAAGGGGAATTCCTACAGGATATTTGCTTGGTATAGTCTGTACGATTTCTCTAAATGAAAACCTAAAATCAGCAGGATTAATAGAAGAAAGTCCGAGCAGACACGAAAGTAAACCTACGTTAAACAATTAGAGCAGGAGGGAATAAACGAAATTCAATGCGTGTCTCAAGCAAAAATGACTTGATCATGCCCTGATGCTCAGCCAAAGTAGAACCATATATTTAAATATGTTAAAATCTTGTGTGAGATACTTCCTTGGAGCTCACAAACTGCATTCACAAAGACGAAAATGCAGTTGAGAAAAAATCAAAAACACCAAAATTTAGAGTCTGTTAACAATTCTGCCCAAAGGAGGAAACAACTTGATACATCCTCAGATTAGATTTAAGAAGGCTTTTGTCAGAATCAAAGTTTCAGGTATGGAGTCATAGACGCTAACCTTTTTTTCTTTTTTTCGGACAAAAAGAGAAGATATAAAAAATCAATTAAAACAAATATAAATAGAAGAGAAGTTCGGAAAGAACGTTGGTAGATGTAAAGGAGCAAGGAAGAACCCTAGCCTAGATTCAGACGTCCTACAAAGAAAAGCAAGAAAGACGAAGCATCAGAGAGAAAACAAAAAAGCAACAGAATCTAGAGGAGAGGAAAGATGAAAACAAAGCACAAGCGCTGGCAAACAAAACTACCAAGACCTAAATGTTTAGAACTCCAGAGTAAACGAGCGAAAAAAAGGAGTCCAATTTCCAACAATCACGGCTCAAATTCAATCAAAGCAAATTTGAACTCTAAACAGCTTACGAAACCCTAGACTAAAAGCATCTTTGGGAAGACAAACACACTGTGAGAGAGGAAAAGCGGAGGCCTCTCGCAGAAAAGCTAAAGTTGAAATTCCAACATTTCAACTCTCACCAACCCATAGAAAGTAGAAACCCTAAACGGCTAAACACCAACCATTTCCCAAGAAATGAAAGAGTTGAGAAGAAGAAGAAGAAAAAAAAAACAACAATAACAACCAAACGAGGTTCAGAGGCCTCCCACACCGCAAAACCCCGCTACAAGAAAAGCTCAAAATTATTGCTCGAACACTCAAGTCATCTAATCAGAGTCCTAAGTAGCACTTCACAGGCGAAAGGAAAATGATGACAAAGCTCTTGCAGCAAAATGCAGAGCAGAACCTGAAGGAGAAGGAACAGAGAACAGAGAAGTTGAATTTTGAATTTCTTTTGTTTTTTTCTTTTTCGACTTTTGGGTTTGAATTAAAGGCCGATCACTTTTTACCAGTCAGGGCCGTAAATTTCTGACTGAGAAAAATTTACAGAGAAACCATTGGATGGGGAGGAAGAGGTAGGGAAGGACAAGCTTGGTGCCCTAAGGAGTAATTACACCGCAGTGGCACAGTCCACAGTCCACACTATACTGTGAGAGAGAGAGAGAGAGAGAAGATGGCAACCCTAGACGTCCTTATCGCCATGCATTTTTTAGGGCAGAGAGCTCTCCTGAGTCCTGATGCCTACTCTGCTTTACTCTCTGAAACCGAAAAGGAAAAAAAAATAAAGAAACAGAAACAGAAAACGGGGAGGGAGAGAGTAATGCAAGTGTGAAGGACTAGAAACGCACAAACAAACGTCACTCCAACAGAAAATGAGAAAAACACATAAGTCATAACATTAGAATAAAATAATGAAAAGTTATTTGGTGTATAAAAGAGTAAAATACAAAATAAACATATTATATATTATACAGAATAAGAAGAACAATTAAGGGACGAGGTTGCAGTGACATCGGCCCCACCCACGTAAGGTGACATCAAAAAATCACTAAAATGGAGATAAGATTCCAATCCAGTGGCCACCAGCAGTTTTTATCCTTTAAAAATAAACATCAGTGTTGTAAATTAAAGGTAAATCCTTTTTCTACAGAAGAATAAGGAATTAATTAATTAATAACTGTGTCGTACGTATCTCGTATGTAAGCTTTTGTATGGGATCGTGGACTTGAAAATGTTTAATATATTTTGGTGATTTATAATTATTATCCTAGATTCCGGCTCTCTCTCTCTCTCTCTTCCTTTTCCATCTAATCCTCCCGTTGCTTTACATTAATACTGGCATCGTGTTTCGAGCTGAAATGATGACGTGGAATTTGTGAGAAGACCTGTGTCTATAATTCTGTGTGCGTATTTAATTTGGGCTCTTCAGGTAGAGAAAACAATCAAACATCAAGAGAGAGAGAGCCCAGCCCATTGGCCCCATCCCTGTCGTTTACTGTTCCCATTTGCTTTCCTTTGTGACGTTAATTTGACAGAAGTTTTCTTCTGCTTTTTCCTTCATTTCTCGATTGCGGTAATAAACGTGGCACGCATCTACAGGGTGTGGACCCACAACAAAGAAGTTGATATCAGCTGAGGCGGATGAAATGTTAAGTCCAAAGATTCTCTACCAAAGGAAAGAAGTCAAGGTTCGGGGACGGGTTCAACCGATGATAATTAGATGTTTGACCATTGTCTTCAGTCCCTGGTTGATGAATGGAGGCCCAAATGTCTCCTTTCTCCTGTGCTGTACCCCTGCACTGCCCCTCATGCCGTCCAGGTTTGATGGAATTACAACTGCGATCTGCAAATATATTCTGTTCCGCTATTAACTTCATTTGTTTTTAACTTTAATTAATCTAAACACAAATAAAATACAATTTCAACCAGTGTTCCTGCTCCCAACCCCAGCTTTCCGATTTCCATGCCACAAACATACACTTTGGTCCGTTTGATTAGCAGTAGAGGAATAAGAGTTGGGAATTGGCCAGTGGAATCCAAATACAATGGATTGACATTCTCTCATTTGAGTAAATAGATATTCTTTCCCCAGAATATCATTCCAGCAGTCACCAAATAAACCCTTAATGGCTCAATAATAATGATAAAAATTAAATTGTTAAAAGTAAAGCCAATCCCAAATATACCAGTTTGTGGGTAGTAGTATGAAATAACTTTAGGATGAGACTAATCCGAATGAGATTAAAATAATAATAATGATAATAATAACATTTTCATTGATAGGCCAATAAATCCTTAGCTATAATAAGCTTTCTTTTTTGTAAACTTAAATATAACAAGTTCAAATAAAATAATATAATGGAATTATGAAACTATAGCTTGATTAGCTTCCTTGTATACAGAGAAATCCAACATGTATGGTTTTCTTTTTTTTCATATATAAAAAAACTTTTTGCTATTCAATGGTGCATAAAACCTTGATATTATTGTTGTTGTTACTAAAATTTGTCATGTGTTGAGTGGAAATAATAGCTGAAGTATTTGAATTAAGGATGTTTCCTCCTTTTTTGTACATTAAAAACAACTAAAGAAGCCTTTTACTTAATAAGATAAATAAAAAGAAATGTCCATCCCAAATAGCTCGGACCTACATTTGGTATAAATTCTATATATCTAGGCATCCCCACTTTTGGTACATTATGAGTATGCATCAGTGCATGCGAATCTCACCTTGGAAAATGCCTAACAAGTTAAAAAGTAAGCATGCAATGAGGCAATGCAGGGGTACATAATACAAGCAATTATCGTTAGTGGTTTCAAAAATCTTTAGGCCGCTATTCATTTTTCGAGAAGTTATTTATTCATGTTCTTTTATTTTCTAGATAAATAATACAACAACTATTTTAGCCATAAAAAGCCACTGTTAGAAGGACAATTTTACCCCATCCAAGTATTGGCAACTTTCCTCGAGGTGGGAAAGTCATTTACCCACAAGAACATGCCTACAACTTCCACTCCTCGTATTCGAAGCCTTCTTGCTCTTGGTATCATTGTTGGGTTTGATCAGTTCGTGTTGCCTTCGGCGTGACCAATAAAGGCATCAGAAAAGCGATATCAGGAACAGGGTACAAGGAGTACATGCTTAGTGATTACTCTGATAGGGCACAAAACCCAGGCAAACATTCACATGCAAGGTATTATCGGCGTTGTGAATAGCATTGGCACCACAAGCTTTGTGGACGTTGTAGTTGTTATTTGGTACTAACCATAACAATTCCTAGGTGCGGTCTCTCTCTATTCCAATTCCCCAACACTTTATGTTGGGTTGGGACAATTGATGGAGGCAGATGCTCAAAATCTTGGTTTGGTTATTAGCCAACTAGAACAATTTCCACAACAACTCCACCTTTTCGGTTTCATAAACAGATTTCCCACAACTAAATATATCAAGGACATCTTTTGGTTTCAATATTGAAACATGCCAAAAAAACAATGAGTTGATGTTGGTGATATAATCGAGAGCTTGAGGAGAAGATATTTCAAAGAAGACTTTACAAATGCCTCGCCTTTCTTCCCCTAAAGGTATGAACACCTCAAAGTAAAAGAGGTACCAATAATAGAATGCCAACCCAAAGGTAAATCTATGTGGGCATTGTTCGCTTCATCTCTAGATAACAATGTGGGATTCTCAATAGAACATGACAATGTTTGATTTGTAGAGGAAGCTTTTTATCTAATACAGAAAAAAGTTTGTGACGAGTTAGATCATCCAAGTTTCAAAGGCGGACATTTTATTAAGAAGTATCTATTCTCAATACAAAAGAATCTCAAAGGATGAGAGATATGGGAACAAGCGTGAGATTAAAGATTAAGAGGTTTATATTGGGTTAAAAAAAATATGCATCGCATGGTGTCACGTGTGCATGCACTTTGACAAAACATTATTGGACACTAACGATAAGGGTAGAGCTAGTTAATTGTCAAAAACAGTAGGGGTGGTTTAAGATAATAGTTAAACATTAAGGGTACAATTTATGAATTAGCTAAACAATAGGGGTAGTTTAAGAAATTTGCCCTTTTTATTCAAAACTTCATAATTCATAAGTTCAACAGAACTTAGCTATTGAAAGCACGAGATACTTTCATGCCATGTTGCTTTGGAACTTTTATTTTTACTAAAATACATTTTTTTAGTTTACTCTCTCTCTCTCTCTCTATAATTGTGATGACAGAAAAATGTAATTCAAACTTTCATCTTATTTAATTTTTCTCATTGAGTCATATTTAGGATATTAGCTTTCTCATTCTCTCTAGTTATATCTTCATCTAAGTGGCCATAAACAATTCAAGCATCTTGGTCAAATAGGTGAACCAATGATATCATAATTTCCACAGGCACATCTTTAAAAGATATCATCATAAATAAAAAAAAAAAAAACTTAAAAGTTTTGGAAAAACATATAAATGTTGTAAAAAAGTTGTGGACATATCTATAATATTATATATTCATCATATTAAATAAAAATAAGTATGCAAATGAATTATTTTTTACATGAAAATGTAAAAAAGCTGTAGAAAAGTTTGGACACATTATTATTATCATCATTATGTAAAATTTCCATGTGCAAAGCATGTGTAGATTTGCTAGTATAAATTAAATATACATATATTTAAATGTCTTTTTTATTTTATATTTCATGAAGTGTAACTTAAATTTTACACATATATCATTTGTTATATATATATATATATACATACATACATACACACATGCATATTTAATGTTCTATAATATGCATTTAATATTTCATGTTTAAAATTATAGGCCTTTGGTCCAGGGCCTAGGATATTGCCCTTATCAAAGGCGTTAAATCTAGCAAAGGCTTGGCCCATGGTTACTCTTAACGATAATTGCTTGGTTCATTTACACATAAACATACTCTCTCTCTCTCATTTACACATAAACACATAACAACAACAATAATAATAATAATAATAAAAAAATTGAAAACATTGGGATAGAAAAAAAAAAGAGAAACACGAATTTATAGATAAGGCTCAGTTTGGAAGAAGTACAGATACACATACATAGAGTGTAAAACTTCATATTTTGTATGTATGTATATAAGCCTTGGCAAGGCTTATACCTGTATAAGGTTTTGCAGTAAATATATTTATATTATTTGTAATTGCACTCTTCCCCACATTTTAAAGAGAGACACTAAATTCAATATTTGACAATTGAGAGATGTTAAATTGATTTGATGGCCCTATTCTGATAAATGAGTCACGAGTTAACATTTCTCAATTGAAAGCAATAAAGATACGACATCACCCTGGACTTGACCAATAAGGTGCTATTAATTAATCACTTGTTAGCGGCTTAGCGCCTTTAATCAGGAGGGCGGAGGCCATTTTTAGTAAGTTTTTGGAGATGTTATCCGTAATTAAGTGCAAGTCAGGGAAAGTAGGAAAAGTTCCCTTTAATTAAATATAGTTTAGATTAAATAATGATACAAAAGTGTTTTAGAAAGGATAAGATAACAAGGTTTGATTATATTGAAGCTTTTTTCTCGCAATTATCAATATGGATTTGGGTCCCAAGAGATTCCCCAATGCATATTGTATTATTATATTATACTCCAGAGAAATATAGAAAGGATGAAGCAATGAAATGAAAGCATGTTTATTAAATGTTTGGGTTGCAATTGCATGGAGAAGAAGCTTTCATACCTTCCCCCGAAAAACAGGGTACACGTGGGCTAATGTCAGTAGAGCTTAGTGTCAGGTCA